GCCCAGCTGATGTCACTTGAGCGACATCACGGAGCAGGGCCCCTGTGGAAATGGCGCGCACCTGCGGCCGGTTCACACTTCGCTTCTAAAACACTCGGCTTCCGTTATTTAAATTACGAACTTCACGTAGCTTCTTTGTAACAAGGATTACAGGAGCCCCTGAGGTAGTATTGATTTTTTTCTTTTTTCCCACTGAAACAGGAAATTATCTTTAGGACTATTTCACTACTAGAAGCTTGGTGCACGAATTTGTGCAAGGTGGGGTCCCTCTGGGTGGTCTGCAGGGATCGGGCCGAAACCCACAGTCCAATGCTGCCTGCAGCTCGTACCATCCCGGCCCCACTGTGCCTGCCGCGGGCTCACACCCAATCGCTCCCCATCAGGAGAGGCTCAGGCTGCCACCAGCTCTCACCAGCCACGAGCCCTGCATCTGGCGCCCTCCTCAGGGGAGTGGCCTGTGGGATCTGGCTGAAACGGGCTCTCCGACATCCCCCAAGGGGGCCCGGATTGCGAGAGGGCACAGGTCAGGCTGAAGGACCCCGTTGGTGCACGACTGAGCTGGGGAGGGACTGCGGGAGGGCTCAGGGGATGTCTGGCCCATCTTGCTCAGTCCTCATCGGCTGGACTCCACCAGCAAGCTAACCTACCCATGGGAGCATCTGCCCCCTGGTGGTCAGTGCACATCAGAGCGAGCAGTTGAGCAGCCTTGCATATCATTAGCATATTACTCTTTGATTGTTCAGTTCTGTTGTTCAGTCTATTTGCATATTTATTACCCTTGTATTATATAGGCTTATTGTATAGAGTAGATTGAAATTTAATATAATTTAGTCCACATAGGAAGACAATCCTGGGGAACGATGTGGATAGGGACTGGCGGGCAGGCCCCCTATCACTTGCAACCTCTGTTTTTCTTCTGTAACTTTTGCCAAATTGGAAACTGTACCTTCACAACGCCCGCCAGCCAATCAGGAGTGAGTATGCAAATTAACCCAACAAAGATGGCGGGTTAATTTGCATACACAGATGCCTAGCAGTCGGGGGTGTTCAGCACCACCCCAGCTGCTCGGGGCTGCTGGGCAGCACGGAAGGCGGAAAGGCGGCTCCGGCCAGAGCGAAGGAAGTGCTGGCAGCCAGGACAAAGAAGGCCCATTCTTGCACGAATCTTCGTGAATCGGGCCTCTGGTTATGGTCATAAAAGTGATTCCAGCCCTCTCAACAGGCCCCCAGATGGAAGTAAGGTGGCTAGAGGACAGGCCTCTGCAGGCAGCGTCTGCACGCCCTCTTCTCATTGCACCCAGTGGTTCCCGCCCGAGGTTTACTTGGCCGTCTGGACGATCCTTGTAGGCAACCATTCCTGTTTGATAGCGTGCTTCCTGGCGGCATGAGGCTGGAGGAGGTAACCATGTAACCCGCAGGCCTCACACTGGCACTCACCGTGTCCGCTGGGACTCCTCCACCGATCACAGGTTTTAATGTCTGATGTCTGTGTACGTGATCAGGGCAGGCTGGTTCCGTCCTATTTGCTTTGGCCCCGGTGACAGGGAACGGCGAGAGGCAGTTCACCCGTAGAACGTGTATCCATAGAACCCTTCCCAGCTCAGTGTTGCCCATGTTGACACATGTATGTTGTCAGGAACAAGCTCAGCATGCATGTCTGAAACTACACAGCTCAGTACACCGTTCCCGTGATGTAAAACACTGCGGATGCTGCTCGGGATGGCTGCCGCACGCCCCAGCGGGTTCCTGTCCGGGATGTTAGGGGTGACTGTTCTGTGTTGCCGACCCCTGCAGCTCAACGCCATGGCGAACCGTGCTGCCGGGAAAGGCTACGAGAACGAGGACAACTACTCCAACATCAAGTTCCAGTTCATCGGGATCGAGAACATCCACGTCATGAGGAGCAGTCTGCAGAAGATGCTGGAAGGTAAGCCGCTTCCTGTGCACAGCACTGAGAGAGAGGAGGAAAAAAAAAAGGCAGTGGAATGTTTTCGTGCCAAAACGGAACGAGATAGCCTTCGCATGCTAACACTGTCTTTCTACCAAGACGCTGTTTGCCCCGCGGGTCACGTTGGGAAGCAGGTCCGATTGCGGTGACTTTGGTTTATTTATTTTTTGTGTGTCACGGGGACGTGGACAGCAGGCAGGCCTCTCCCTCCTAATCTCAGTTTGAGCCTCATCCAGAGCGGCCGCTGGTTCTGGAGCAGAGATGCGGTCCATGAGCTGAGTCGATGGGAGGATGCTGGGGGGTCCCGATCCCCATCTGCACAGCGGCACCCCAGGCAACGTGCCCACAGCTGAGTGACACCCACTCACCCCTCGGACCCGGGCACCAGGGCACACACAGACACGCGGTGGAGGGCGTTAGGATGACAGATTATGTTACACAGAGGAATCATTCATGTGGCCAAACGAGCCGCACGCCGAGGAGCAGAGATTCTGCATTTCAGGCGAAACCAGCTGCATTGTGACCGTCAAGGCCCAAGGAGGAATCTGTTGGCACCGTCACCACTCCTGGTTCTCGTGGGAACTGGAAAAAGGGAGGGCGTGTGTCCCGGGGACCGGCGAGGCTGTGAGCGCCGAACGGGCCCCCGTGGGGAGGCCGGGGAGGGGGCGCCCCCGGGGGGAGGCCGGGGAGGGGGCGCCCCTGGGGGAGGCCGGGGAGGGGGCGCCCCTGTGGGGAGGCCGGGGAGGGGGCGCCCCCTGTGGGGAGGCCGGGGAGGGGGCGCCCCCGGGGGGAGGCCGGGGACGGGGCGCCCCCGGGGGGAGGCCGGGGAGGGGGCGCCCCCAGGGGGAGGCCGGGGAGGGGGCGCCCCTGGGGGGAGGCCGGGGACGGGGCGCCGAGTGCCGGGGCCCAGGCTGTCTGAGCAGGACAGGCGTGTGCGGGACAAAGGAAGTGCTGGGTGGTTTTCTCCAGGAGGCACCCGTGCTCTCCGTCCTTGGGGGGCTCTGCTGAGTGGGGACAGGCGGGTGCGGTGAGGCCTAAGGGTGGGGCTGGAGGGGCCTGGCTTCCATCCTCTCTCCGGGTTCCTCGGGCCGTCCGTCTCCGTCGCGGGGCTGTGTTTGCTGTGAAAGGAAGAGGGTCAGACTAAGGATTTCCAGGGGCCCTGCCAGCCGTGACGGCTGTGAATCTCCAATGGAGGCCCCTGGCCGCAGACACTTCCGCACTGAGCATTGGAAAGGTTAGAACTGTGGTCAGCAAGCTGCAGAACACGCGGCTCTTTGGCCCCTTGAGCGTCATTCTTGTACAGAATACTATGGCCTCGGCAAGACTATTTGAAGAATTGGCGTTAGAAGAAGTTTAAGATTTAAACATTTGGCTCTTAAAAAATATTTCAGTCGTTGTACTGTTGATATCTGGCTCTGTGGACTAATGAGTTTGCCGACCACTGTGTTAGAAGAACGTCTTTGCTGCAGGGGGAAACAGCCCGGCCCCAGAGCCCCAGAGCCGTCTCCTCTGCCGTCCCAGGGAATTCGGGGAATCCCCATGTCAGGTCACGGTGACCGTGCTCCGAGCCGCCCAGGCCTCTGGAGATTGTCATTCGGCAGCTTGGCTGTCCCCGTGCGTTTAAGGTTCAAAAATTGGACTTGCTTGGCCCTGCCGTGGAAAGGGTGGTCTAACTGTAGTATGAGGAGTGCTCATTATTATCAGATCATTGCTGCTCTTTTATGTTTCTTTTTCTAAAGTTTTATTTGTTGACTTTTTATTTGTTTTTTTAATATATTTTTTTAATATATTTTTTATTAAATTATTTTTGTACATATACCAATGCCCCCCCCTCCCATACATACCCTTCCTCCCCAGAGATTTGTGTCCATTGGTTGTACTTATATGCATGTATACAAGTTTTTCGGTTGATCTCTTATCTCCCCCAGATCTCCCCAACCTCCCCGCTGTAATTTGACAGTCTGCTTGTTGCTTTACTGTCTCTATATCTATCTTTTGGTTTGTCAGTTTATAATGTTCTTTATCATTTTATTGATTTTTTACAGAGAGGAAGGGAGAGAGAGAGCAAGAAACGCTGATGAGAGAGAAACGTCGACCAGCCGCCTCTTGCACACTCCTCACCGGGGATGAGCCCGAAACCAATGTACATGCCCTTGACCGGAATCGAACCCTGGACCTTTCAGTCCGCAGACCGACGCTCTACCGCTGAGCCGAACCGGTTTCGGCTATTTGTTGACTTTTTAGAGGGAGAGTGGAGGGGGGGAAGACATGGATTTGTTGTCCCACCTCAGTGTGCATTTATCAGCTGGTTCTCGCTGGGCCCTGACCGGGGGTGGAGCCTGCAGCCTTGGGGTGTCAGGACACCGCTCTAACCAACGGAGCCCCCAGGGCCTTCTTTCTGTTCTTCAGTTAGTGGTTTCATCAGCTGACTTTTTAAAAAATATATATATATTATTGATTTTTTTACAGAGAGGAAGGGAGAAGGATAGAGAGTTAGAAACATGGATGAGAGAGAAATATCCATCAGCGTAAGTTGAAACAAACAAACGATAGGAAGACATTTAAGCTTGCTCTGGTAATTTAAAAAACGAAACTTAAAGCTTCCAGTTACCATTTTTCCCTTAGTGTTTTTAAAAACGAAAATATGTGATAAAACTGGTACTTCGGATATTTCTGGGGTCATGAAATTGGCTTAAAGAAACATAATACAATATATTCTGTTTGGAGAGACATACTGTATTTTTACCAGGTTGCCTCCCCTCGGGGGCTAACCCAAAATATGGTTTAAAAAAAGAAAGCCATAACATGCCTATTTTTATAATGGAAGTTTGGAGGCCACAGGAATGTCTACCCGTATTTTCCCGGCGTATAAGACAACCCCCTAATTTTACAGTTAAAACATAGGTTTAGGCCTATATTCGCTGTATAAGACTACCCCCCACTTCCGAGGCAACACCAGTTCTTTTTTTAATAGACCGCCTCTCTGACTCTGGCCAATCTGAGTAGGCTTTTTTTCGTTTCAAAAGTCGTCTTATACAACCGGAAAATACGGTAATAATAGTAGATTAAATAAATTTGCTCCATCTCTTTTTTTTATTGATTTCTTTTCTTCTTTTTTTTTTTTTTTACAGAGAGGAAGGAAGAGGGAGAGAGAATTAGAAACATAGATAAGAGAGAAACATTGATCTGCTGCCTCCTGCACACCCCCTACTGGGGATGTGCCCACAACCAAGGTATATGCCCTTGACCAGAATCGGACCTGGGACCCTTGAGTCCACAGGTCGACACTCTATCCACCGAGCAAAACTGGCTAGAGCAATTTTGCTCCTTCTCTTAACAGAAAATTTTACATCCATTAAAAATTATAAATGTTAAGAGTGTATGTGTACATTGTAACATGGGAGAAAGTGAGAAATTCAGGCTGTAAAATTGTACGACTACTCTGATTTACTCCATGGTAAATCATATCTATGAAGAAAGACTGGGAGAGCCGAAACCAGTTTGGCTCAGTGGATAGAGCATCAGCCTGCAGACTGAAAGGTCCCAGGTTCGATTCCGGTCAAGGGCATATATATATTTTTTTAATTGATTTTTTTACAGAGAGGGCGAGAGAGTTAGAAACATCGATGAGAGAGAATCATCAATGTGCAAGAGGCAGCTGACCGATGATTCTCTCTCATCGATGTTTCTAACTCTCTCCCTCTCTGTAAAAAAATCAATTAAAAAAAATATATATATATTGTTTTTACAAAAGAAAGACTGGGAGAGACTGTCCAGCAAAAATAATTGTATTAGCATGGAAGGATGACAGGCCAGTTTTTAATTTTTCCTTCTTTATTTACTAAAGCAGAGGCCCAGCAATCACATGAGAAGGGGCCCACCTCCTGCCGTGCAAGGAGGCACCCCGTGGGGGGCCGGGACCCGCGCCTGACTCACGCAGCACTGGCCACCGTGCGAGTCAGGCCAGACCTGCACCTTGGGGGCTGGGGCCTGGGCCTGTGTCCGCTCCAGGGCTGCCGGCGGGCAGGCCACCACCACCACCCCCCCATCTCCATCTCCGCCCCAGGCCTCACTTGCGTGCCAACCTCCTCCTGTCTGGTCATTACCGAGTCCCGGCCTAATTTGCATATTACCTCTTTTTATTGATATATATATGTATATATAAAAATAGATATAGATAGATACTCTCTGTAGTTGGCTTATTGCATTAAAAAACAAACACGCAGTACACAAGTACACATTATCTCCCAGGTTCTGTGAGTGAGGAGTGGGCATGTCTCATACAGGTTTCCCACTTCAAATTCACACCTTTGCAAAGCAAATTCACACCTTTGCAAAGCAAATTTGCTTGCAAAAGGGTGAATCTGAAGAGGAAAACCTGTATCTAAAAGGGAACCAGGGTCCCCCCGCCCACAATCTTAAAGGCTGCAGTTAAGGCGTAGGCCAGGCTGCGTCGTCATCGGGACACTCGGATGAGAAGCACCTGCTTCCGGGCTCATTCAGGACGTTGGCAGCATTTGGGTGAGGGCCCTGAGCGTGTGGCTGCCGAGGGGAAGGGGGCACCCTTAGGTCCCAGGCCGCTGTGCTCTGCCGTGGGCGCTGCCAGGCTGCCCACAGCACGGCCGGCTGTTCTCCAAGGCCTGCTTCTCTCGGGGTAGAGTGTGGCCTGCGGCATTTACAGAGATTTTTATAGTCAGGTTTTAGGAGTGCGTCCTAACCAGGATGACGTAACAAAGCCGAACCCGAGCCTGGTACTTTCCATGGCGGCACGGTGGTCTCGGCTGGTTGGCTGCTTCGATATTGTCCAGGATCACCAATAACCACCCTGCACCGCCAGGCTACGTTTACGGAGTGATTGGCTGATTAATCTGTGTAATATTTAAAGGTATATTTACCCAAGTCGTCTTTATCGCAACCTTTATTGCAATATTCTTAATGTTCCCGTTTTACAGATGATGAAATTGAGGCAACAGAGGCTGAGAAACTTGTGGCGCTCACGACAGTAAGTGGTAGAGCCAAGGTTTTCACCTCGTTAGCGTGAATCCAGACGCCACGCCCTTTACCGTCTGGCTTCACGGCCTGCCCAGGCAGTGGGCTGGGTAGAGGGACCTCGGCCCACCTTCCCTCCCTTCCACTCTCTCTAAAAAGCAATGGGGAAAACATCCACAGGTAAAGATTAAAAAACAGAGAGAGAAGACACCAGTTACCAAGATCAAAAATTAGCAATGAGCCCTAGCCAGTTTGGCTCAGTGGATAGAGGGTTGGCCTGCAAGGTCCCAGGTTCGATTCCAGTCAAGGGTACATACTTCAGCTGCAGGCTCCTCCCCGGCCTGGCCCTGGAACAAGAGAGAGAGAGAGAGAGAGAGAGAGAGAGAGAGAGAGAGAGAGAGAGAGAGAGAGAGAGAGAGAGAGAGGTGGGGGCAAAACAGCAAGTTTCCCAGGCGTGGAAGTGCTTGCCTTGTGACATGGCCCGTGTCCACTCAGCACAAGTTTTCAGAAAAGGAAATGTAATAAGCCACATGTCAGGCTGTGTGGGCGGTTCCTTGGCGCGTTCTTTTCCAGAGAGGCAAGCCGCAGCCTGCTGACCATCCGGTGGGAGTGGGTCCCGAGCCAGGAACAGAGGCCCAGTGTCCACGTGTGTGTATGCATGCATTTTCACACAGATGTGTTTATTACACACATGGCTGTTACACACTTGTGCACTGTCTGTGTGTGTGTGTGTGTGTGTGTGTGTGTGTGTTTTCTAAGCTGCTGACTCAGGCAATGCTAGTATTAGGTCTAGTAATAATGTCGTTTTCTAATACTTTTTTAAATCGAATTTATTTAAACAATACAACAAAATTTAATCAACAATATAGTTGCCGTTGTTTTCTACTACTTGTGCCCAACGCTCAGGAGGCATTTTAATCCCTCTGTTGTAAAATTCTTATGATTTTGATGCAAAAAATTCGGTCAGTGCATTTTTGAGGCATTCTTCATTATTAAATTTTTTTCCAAGAAGAAAGTTTTGCAAAGAACAAAACAAATGGTAATCGGAAGGGGCAATATCAGGAGAATATGCAGGTTGAGGGAGAACTTCCCATTCCAACTGGCGCAGTTTTTCAGCAGTGATTCTTGCAGTACGTGGTCGTGCGTTATCGTGGTGAAGAATTACGCCCTTCCGATTAATCAGCGCGGGTTCTTTTTCTCTTAAAGCTTGGGCTAACCTTTCCAATTGGGCACTATACACTGCACTTGTAATGGTTTGGTTAGATGGTAAAAGTTCATAATGAAGAATTCCTTTAAAATTCCACCAAACACACAACATCACTTTTTTCGCATGCAAGTCAGGTTTTGGCGTGGGCTGCGGAGCCTCATTTTTGTCCAACCATTGAGGCCGCCTTTTCAAATCAACATACAGCACCCATTCTTCATCTCCGGTAACAATTTGCTCTAAAAACGGTGAACGGTTTTGACGAGAGAGGAGCGAACTGCAAATTGTGACTCTTTGATTACGGTTGTTGTCGGTCAACTCATGAGGAACCCATTTTCCAAACTTTTGGACTTTGCCAAGTGCACGCAATTGATTGGAAATTGTTTTTTGTGAACAATTTAAAGTTGTTGCAAGCTCTTGTTGGGTAATTAGAGGATTTTGCACCAAAAGAGCTTGAAGAGCTTCTTGATCAAAATTGGACACACGGCCTCGACCACTCTTGTCATCTAACGAAAAATTTCCCTCGCGAAATTTCTCAAACCAACGCTGGCATTTTCTGGCGCTAACTGCATCTTGACCAAGAGCACTACAGATGTTTTTTGCAGCCTCACTTGCTTTTCTTCCTAATTGGAACTCGTAAAGCATGCAGTGCCGAATATGCTCTTCATCCGCCATCTTCTTAGCCCTAGTTTTGCAACAAAAACCAAACCAAACACAAACTTTTTCAAGCAAAACTTGTTAATTGCACTTCACACGTTCTGTAGATACCACGTGTTTGAAGGTTATGTCAATACAAGTCAACGCCAAGCAAGATTTTAAACGAATGTTAAAAAACGACGTTAATTATTACTAGACCCGATAAATGTATGAGAATGTAAGCTTGATGGAACCTTACCATTCTATGTTGTTGTCCAAGTCTTTAAAAGGGAACAAGGTTATACACAAAAGGCCTCCTGGCATTCCTGTATTCAGGTTCCAGCAAGCAGCAGCGTGAACAAAGCTGGTGTTGTTTTAGAGCACATGTGTCAAACACAAGGCCCGCGGGCCAAATCCATCCCGCCAGGCCTTGCAATGTGGCCCGCACCGCGCTGTCATCACTGCACTCCGCTGCGTTTCCATCACAATGACAGTTTATGACTGTTCAGTAAACCATTCGGCCCGCGATTTAGGCTGGATTTTAGATTTTGGCCCCTTCTCTGATTGAGTTCGACACCCCTATTTTAGAGGATAAGCACCATGAGGCCTCGGAACAGAGGGCCCCGTGGGCTGGGAAAGGCAGGGACGAGAACACCACTCACATGAATAACCGTTGCTGCTAGCGTCTCAGTGATCCCGGGCCAGTTCCCGGCAGGCTCAGGAGTTCCTCCTGTCACCACGTGGGTGAGTAACATAGAAGGGGACGGGGGCTGTAAGCCAGGATTAACCAAGCACTTCCGTTTTTTAAAATACGTATTTTATTGATTTTTTTACAGAGAGAAAGGGAGAGGGATAGAGAGTTAGAAGCATCGATGAGAGAGAAACATCGATCAGCTGCCTCCTGCACACCCCCCACTGGAGATATGCCCACAACCAAGGTACATGCTCTTGACCGGAATCGAACCCGGGACCTCTCAGTCTGCAGGCCGACACTCCATCTACTGAGCCAAACCGGTTAGGGCAGGCATTTTCATTTTTTAAGTCCACAATAGAGTCCTCTCCGTGTGGTTCCACCTGCCAGGGTGGCCAGTGAAGGGCGATGGCTATCATCTCGATAGCTCTTTGAAGACCATTCCCAGGGCTGGCTTCTACAATGTGAAAGGGACAGGCCTCACTTCAGCAGAAGCCCTACTGTGTGCCAGGACTGAGCATGAAGCCCTACTATGTGCCAGGCCTTGTCCATGTCAACTCTGACCTCAGAAGACAAGACAGACACCCCCAGGGTTCGAACAGGGACTGTCCCTCCCTGACCCACCCAGCTCCTGTGGAGGAAGGAACGCGATGGGTGCAGGGAATTCCTAAGGACGAGCATCAGGCTCATTTCCTTCCAAGTACATTTCCTATTTCCTCGGTTTCCAGAATAACATTTATGTGTCTTAGTGTTGCCTCTCTGTGTGCGGAATGAGTTGCCCCGTGCTGTAAAACAAATACTGGGCCTGGGCATGAATCTCGGCTCTCTCGCCGGTGGCATATGCCTCTGATGTCAGCCGAAATGAACTTGGTTCAGCAAAAACGGTGTGTAAATATTGGTTCGGGTTTGGCAACAAGAGTGAGCACATCGGTGTTTCTGCCTTATCCCGAGTTTATCCAAACAA